CATCCCCTTTCCTAAAGTGAAAAAAATAGTATTGGCCATACATACACATTAACAAGGAAATCCACCCCCTTCGCTGTTATTATTTTTTTAAATCCCTTCCTACCAGTTCAACAAAAATATTAATAGAATAGAAATGATTATATGTTAATAGAATAATAGAGTCAAAAAAAATATTAATATTGACAAAAATATTCCCAACAAAAATATTAATAACAATAAAATGTTCTCAACATAAAGAATTTGAAAACAAAAATTCTCAACAAAATACTAATTGTATCAACAAAAAATATCGTCAAAAATACTCTCAACAAAAATATTAATTTGTAACTAACATTGAATAGCATTATAAGAAATATTGTTGATAGAAGGACTTTATAAATATTTTTGGTAATTTTAGTTGTTAATAAATAAATAAATTCCCCATACTGACCCTGTGCTCTGATTTTAATGTGTCCCAGGCGGAGGAATGGTTTGCGGGGGGACACAAAGTGTAACGATGGATCGGATGGGAATTCTCTTTATTGATAAAGTTTTGAGGATTTGTGATGCGGAATAAATGGAAATGAAGCAGAATGTTTCCCGTTGCTGTGATTTGTCTGTTGGCCGGGACGGTGAAGCTCATATTAACCACGAAGAACATTGAACGTTCATTCCCACAATATGCATTAAACAGCTCCGACTGGTGTGAAAGAAAGGTTAAAGTGTCTTCTATGGATGCATGGAGTGCATCAGCGGAAGATGCCATAGGTAACTAAAGAGAGGTATTTATAAAATGTTCCACTAGATGGAGCTAAAGAGCAGAAGAATTTCCTATTCTCATCGGCTTCATCTAGTGGCCATAATGTGAGGTGACTCTACGACTCAGACATTCACAGAGCCAATATACACCCCTGGATGTCACACTGATCTCCCCTGACTTCAATACTTTGAGATGCTGACCTGGAACTAGTATGACCTCTGAATTTTCTCGGACTGCACACTTCTTCTCAGTATACCGTGAGCTGTAGCTTGCGATATACTGAGCTTTGGGTCACGGGAGGAGGTTAGTATATGTCCTCCCGTGACCCTTAAGAGAACTATGGGGAAAAACACTTACCCTATAGTTCTTTTAAGTAAAAAGTCAGTAAAACAACATAACAGCCAGCCCAGCATTGTAGATATTCAGCAAGAGCAGCCTCCGCATTCTCTCACAACAAATGAAAGTAGAAATCAAGAAATATATAAATTGCCAGACATGTTGAAAAATAAAAAGTGTAGCAGTCACTGAAATACTGCACTCATCTGCAACACTGCCCCCTGCAGGAACTCCGCTGCACCACAGGCCCTCTTCCCGGCTCAATTGTTGAACCCACTTCTTGTGAGCCCAGGCTGTCATGGACACACCCCCTGGTGCTGTGTCACTACGTCAGACTGGGCTCACAGTACAATACTATAGAGAGCAGCATTGAGGTCATTACATTTTTGGGCCAAGCAACAGCTGGCAGACAGAATCTAATTTCTATAGAGGACACCTCCTCCTTCACTTTCTGCACTGAACAAAACGGTGCCAGTTTTAATTGTTTGGGTTTAGCACGTAGAGGTGTGTACACGAGGATCGGGGGGTTTTGTTGAACAGATATTCTAGAATTTCCTTTTTTAACATATGACCTTTTACCAAACCAAACATTCACCGGTAATGAACCAATCAATGTCATTTTAAACACATAGGGCAGGACGATTCACCTGCAGTGAATGCTTGGTGAAGGTGAAATGCGTTGCTTTATGAATATACCTCAAGGTGTTTTTCAATTTTGATTTTCTTTCCTTTTGAACATTCAGGTGAATTGCCAGTTGACCCTCTCAAGGGAAATTATGTAAGAAAAGTGAAAGATTGTATCTTCTCTCATGTATTCCCCTCTCCATTTGTGTCTGAGATACGACTCGTCGCTTTCTCGGAGGTATGACGCACGGACAGAATTCATGTTTTCATGCATGGATTGCATTTGTTTCCTTTTTCACCCTCGGGGGTCTGTTTATAAAGGTTTTCGTTAGGGATGCACTGGTGCTGATACAAGTATTGGTATCGGTGCTGATACGGGGCATTTTCATGGGAACTTGTACTGGTAACAATGCCCTGATACTAAAAACCGATACCGGCACTTTAAATATTTACATTTATTCGGTTGCCTGAGGTCCCGCACTTGCTGGGGACGCCGTTGCAGCCTTCTCGGGAACTATGTAGCCCCTGTTTACAGCGCCAGCCTGTACATCTTCCCTGCTGAAACCCTCCACGTCTGCCCCTGCTGCAATCCTCAACATCTGCCCCGCTGCGATCCTCCACATCTGTCCCTGCTGAGACTCTTCACATCTGCCCCTGCTGACACCCTTCGCATCTGCCCATGGTGAGACTCTTCACATCTGCCCCTGCTGAGACTCTTCACATCTGCCCCTGCTGAGACTCTTCACATCTGCCCCTGCTGAAACCCTTCGCATCTGCCTCTGCTGAGACCCTCCATCTGCCCCTGCTGAGACCCTTCACATCTGCCCCTGCTGAGAGCCTCCACATCTGCCCCTGCTAAAATCCTCCAATCTGCCCCTGCTAAAACCCTCCACGTCTGCCCCTGCTGCAATCCTCCATATCTGCCCCTGCTGAGACCCTCCATATCTGCCCCTGCTGAGACCCTCCATTTCTACCCCTGCTGAGACCCTCCATATCTGCCCCCGGTGAGACCCTCTGCTTTAGACATCAGGCAGGCAGCACAGAGTATGTAGCAAATTCATATACTATTCTTCATTGCTGTATAATGTATTGCTGAGATTTGTAGTCCTCTATAGCTGATGGTATTATTCTGCATTGCTGTATAATGTATTGCTGAGATTTGTAGTCCTCTATAGCTGATGGTATTATTCTGCATTGCTGTATAATGTATTGCTGAGATTTGTAGTCCTCTATAGCTTTGGAGTCAGTAGAAGAACTACCAGGGTTGTAACTGGGCCCTGGCACTCCACCACTGTCCTCAAATCATTACCCTGTATTGTTTTAGAAAAACTGTCACATGACACTAAAAAAAAAGTATCGGTAATTAGTATTAGCGAGTACTTGAGGGAAAGTATTGGTACTCGTACTCGTTCTGGAAAAAATGGTATGGGTGCCTCCCTAGTTTTCACTCAAGATTCCCATAGCTTTCTATTTTTATAACTGAATTCCATTGGAAAAGTATGAAAATCCTTGGAGAATGCTGTGTGAAAACCTTTATAAATAGACCCCTTGGTGTCTTTAGAGCTGAATGCTGATGTGATTTTTAGTGAAAGGGGGTAAAGGTCCGCTTTAAAACCAAACCCACTTGAATATCAAAATAGAGGACCTACAGTAAAGCGTTCTGATACCTTTGTAACACACCGTTTGTATTTTGACCAAAATATAAAAGAGATAGAGAATGTGTAAGATTGACACGGGGTGATTTATCAAAACTGGAGCAGAAGAATCTGGAGCAGTTGCCCATGGCAACAAATCAGCTTCTCTCTTCAGTTTGCTCAATCTAATGTTTGAAAATGAAAGGTAGATGCTGATTGGTTGCCGTGCACAACTGCTTCATATTCTGTCTGCTCCAGTTTTGATAAATTCCCCCCATTGTGTTCCCATGGAGGTGGACATCAAGATATGTGCAATAACATGATGTACTCAGTATAGTGCTTGCCGTCTAATGATATCATTTGGAGATTTTCCAGCATTGTTAGGAATAACTTCAGAATTCAGAATTGTGTACAGAACTGTGTTGCTTTAAAGGAGAACTATGAGGCGAGTGAAAATCACTCATCCTCATAGTTCGAGCCGACCTGTGACAATTAAACTGTCACACGTCGGCTCAATAGATTGGGAAGTGAGCGAACACATAACGTCGCTCGCTCATCACCCTGCAGAGAGCCGTGACTGCCAGTTACGGCTCCCTGCAGCGATTCCCCTCTCCCTGCTCTGATCCTCCAGCGCTGACTGGAGGAACGGACGGGAGAGTGGTGCTTGGACGGGGGAGTGGTGCTTCTCTATAGGTGCAGTACAGTGATAGTTGTCATCCTAGGACCGGAAGTTGAGTAATTGGCAGGTAATTGGTAATTATCATTAAAAATAAATGATAATGTAGCCACCACTGCTAAGGACTGGTAAGCTGCAATATATTACATTTTGTTATTGGGTTTAGATTTAGAGCTTTACTATTGGCCTAGGTTCATCTGGCAGGTTGGCTGTCTGAAGGATGAGTATGTTCGGCAATGTATAACTTTGTTCTTTTCCAAATAATAAAACACTGACGTGGGAACATAATCAACCTATTGCACTCTTATCTTCCCCAGAACGTTCTGGAGGATCTGCTGGATCTTGACCCATCTGTTGTCGGCTCCGTGGATTTTCTACAGTTTGTTAGCGGTAGTAAAACAATTCCCGGCTTTGTTCCATTAGCACACAGATATGGAGGGCACCAGGTCAGCATTCATTCTACATTCACTTTACGCATTGCTCATCCACTTTTCAGATCTTTCAGATCATTGAGGGATTATTATTAGGAGTTAGAAAACCATTCAAGTGAATTTGGCTGGACAGAAGCCCCAGTGTGTGCACACAGAAGTCAGCAATGGGAGCTTCCATATTTGTGCATCACAGGGTCCATTTGGGCTTATAGTTAGCAGAGCAAACCACAAACACAATAACTCAGAGCAACTTATTAGAAGTCATCCTTTGGCTAGGCCGCTTGAACGTGCTGAAATCTGATTGGTTACTTTGGAGCACTAGACACCAAATTATTTGTGTTGGAGGCCTCTTGATGTTTACATTTGTTAACATTGAAGTAAATAGATGGCAAGCCTATTTCCTGCTGGTGGTCTCTGAACTTTAAAGGAGAACTATGAGGCGAGTGAAAACCACTCATCCTGATAGTTCTAGCCGACGTGTGACAATGAGACTGTCGCAGGTCGGCTCAATAGATCGGGAAGTGACCGAACACATACCGTCGCTTGCTCACTTCTCGATCATGTCCCTGCAGTGAGCCGTGACTGTCACTCACGGCTCCTTGCAGGGATTCCCCCCTCCCCGCTCCGAACCTCCAGCGCTGACTCGCGGAACGGACGGAGGAGGGGGCGGGTACAGCTGGATCTGCCTCTAGATAGGCAGAGCCAGCTGTCAATCCCGCAGCTGGGTGGATCTCCACAGTAATGTCGGGATTCGTCCCGGCTGCGGCGTCTCAGTATACCGCGAGCGGTAGCTCGGGGTATACTGAGCTTTGGGTGATGGGAGGACGCTAGTTTGTGTCCTCCCGCTACCCTTAGGAGAACTATGGGGAAAAGCACTGATCCCATAGTTCTCCTTTAATGCCGGCAATCTTAAAAAAATTTTTTTATGCTATTCCAAATGCTGATGAAATCACTTACAATGGATGCTGCTCCTTGATGATTAAATGTTTTAATTTTCTGCAGAATCAGCCGGTCCCCTGAGCACTGGTACTGATATCCTGTTGTAGGGGTGGCCCCTTTTCCTTGCAGGGTCCTATGAAGTCACCCTTGTGTGTGCTAGTATGCTGTGTGTGTGTCTTCTGAAGTGGAATAGTAATGGATCTGACCAGGCAAGAGCTTCATTTAGAAGGTTTATTGATAACAGCTGCAGCAACAAGGAACAGGGAACAGGCAACAAGTAGTTCAAAGAACCAAAGCTCTCAGGCTCCTTTTTTTATAAGAAATGTTATAGTTCAGTTTAATATTATAGTTATGTTCTCTCGTTGCCTCATTGCCTGTAATTTACATCAGCTAAATAGATTCCAGGAGCAATTAAACAAAAGGTGTTAAGAGTCTTGCAGTTTATTTCTTTAGAAAGCAGCCACAGCCTGAGTAGGAAAGCCTGTCCCCTGCCAACATACTGCAGAGAAGGGCCCATGCTCACTGTGTGGAATCAGTGGTCTCTCTGCACAGGTCCAACACCCTACCCAACACAGAGCAAAGGTTCTTCTCTGCAGCATGCTGGCCGGGGACAGACTTTTCTACTCTGACTGTGGCTGCTTTTTAAAGAAAACAAACAGTAAAGCTGGCCATACACTTTACAACCATCACACGACTTTTGTTGTGCGATGGTTGTAAGGCAATTAAAATCTCATACGATCTGCCCACCTTGGACAGGCAGATCGTACTTGCGATCATCACAAGCTCTCCCTGCTGAGGGGAGGGCTTCCAATGACTGCAATGCTGAGCTGGAAGTGTGCGCTTGTGCACACTGGCACGTTCGGCATTCGTCTTCCGACCACGCCACCAACCCGCCGAAAATCGTACGATTTTCGGCAGGTTTTTAGGGCATGCTCGGAAGATGAAAGTCGTGCGACCTTGCAGTAGAAGCGGTCGCACGCCTTCCATACACCTGCCGATTATCATACGATCGTACGATAATCGTCAGGTGTATGGAAGGCGTCCGACCGCTTCTACTGTACGGTCGCAAATCTTTTGTCTCCCGAGCACGCTGGAAAACCTGCCGAAAATCGTAAGATTGTCGGCGGGTTAGTGGCGTTCTCGGGAGACAAATGCCGAACGTGCCAGTGTGCACGCTCAGCACTTCCCGCTCAGCATTGCAGTCATCGGAAGCCCTCCCCTCAGCAGGGAGAGCTTGCGATGATCGCAAGTACGATCTGCCTGTCCAAGGTGGGCAGATCGTATGAGATTTTAATTGCCTTACAACCATCGCAAGACGAAAGTCCCCATTATGCCCCGATTATCACAAGGTTCAATTAGCCGTAATGAAAGAAAAGCACCTGGATGAATTGCGGTAATCAACCGCACGTATTTTCGTTTGTGCATGAGCAGTGTAGATTGTGCGATTTGTGACGTACGGAAACGCCACTAACCTTGCAATAATCGTACGATCGACCAAAGTTTTCAAACATGCTGGAAAGACAAAAGTCATACGATTGTCTAGTACTGACAGTTGCACACTCCCCATACACCTTGCGATTGTCGTATGATAAGTCGAACGCATACGATTATCGTACGATAATCGTAAGGTGTGTGGGCACCTTAAGACTCTGCACACCTTTTGCTCGATGCACCTGGAATCCATTTCGCAAGTTTCAATTGAAAGTTAATTTGAGCTTTAACTACTACTCCAGCATTTGAAATCATCCGTCAATGTGTGTTTTTCCTCAATAGTTTGGTGTTTGGGCTGGTCAGTTGGGAGATGGAAGAGCACACTTAATAGCCACTTATATTAACAGGTAACGTGTCCTTGTTGTGTGTTCTTTAATATTGAAATCTGGGTTCCTATCATTGCTATCACTTTAACCTCCCTGGTGGTCGGATTATGTCAGTATTTTTTCTTTTTTGTTTTTTTTCTATTTTTCACTTTCGAATTTCCCGCCGGTTCCGCCCCCTGCAACGCCGTCGCTCGCAGGGAAGGAACCGGGAAGACGGATGCCGGCATCGGCCAGAGGACACATGGGGCTTGTAGGGACAAGGTAAGTGACGCTACAGTGTAATCCCGAGTGTGGCTCGGGGTTACAGCTTTTGGTACTGAAAATGAACCCCGAGCCACACTCGGGATTACCGCCAGGGAGGTTAATAGAAGATATATTCCGTGTGCTCTGTTACCTGTAATGCCGGTTTTGTTATCTCTTTGCAATGTTATTTTGTAGGTTTGGAGAGAGATGGGAACTTCAGTTGAAAGGATCGGGGAAAACGCCATATTCTAGGTAACAGACGGGATGAAATGTGCGTTTGTAGCATTACACAGAAAGGATTTGATTTACTTAAGACAAACAGGCTGTTCACTATGCAAGGGAGTTTTCCCTTAGCCTAGTGAATGCAGTGAAGTTCAGCTGACTGCCATCATCCAATCATGTGCAAGCAATAATACTGTTTTTTGTGTTCCTCGTCTGTGATTGGGTATTCTTTGCAAAGTGAGTTTTCTCCACATTCACTAAGCTAAGCCAAAATTCACTGCAAGGTGAACAGCCTGTTTGCATTTAGTATGCACTGTTCTTAACTCCCGCTGTATACAAATCTACAGCAGTAATAATGCTGGTTTGTTATTTAATTTGCAGGAATGGTGATGGGAGAGCTGTACTCCGCTCCTCTGTAAGAGAGTTCCTGTGCAGTGAGGCTATGCATTATCTGGGGATTGCCACCAGCAGGGCTGTCAGGTACATGTATATGTTTTAAGGTAAACTATAGTGTATTTTCATTAAAGTGAACCTGTGTTTTGCCCATGCACAAGCCTCGCTTTAACTACCATGCTCCTTTCTGCATAAACTTATATTCCTACACTCAGGGCCGTCCCTATAATGAGGCTGCTTGAGGCTGTTGCCTCTTTGAGTCACATGGGGGGGGTTGCAGGCAGATCGGCATGTTACTGATCCTGCCTTCCCCTTTCCGGCCAGAGCATCCCAGGTTGCTCAAAGCTGGGCGGGCAGATGTGTAAGGCGCATTTCCCTGTCATGCTATTAGCAACTTGGGACACTCTGGCCGGTGTTCTGCCTAGCCGGTGTTCCCCCCTCCCGAACGTGTACTATCAGCACCACCCCCTTCCCGCCTCAGATGGTGAAACAGCCACTTCTCTGCTTGAACAGAAATATTTCATGATTCTGGCTATTGACATCATGGAAGACTCTCCCTTTCCCCCATGTGATAGTGCGGGTGCTTTGTGATTTGCCCAGCTTTGTCACATGGTGAGAGGAGGAGTTTACTATACAAAAAAATAACGTTTTTAAACATTAACACACAGTGATTAGATTATCCACAGCAATGAGAATGTGTCAATATTGCTAACCTCTCTTTTTAAAAATACCAGCCTGGCCTGGCTGACATGCAACCTCATCCTATGAAGCAGATCTGACCCAAGAACAGAAATGTCATATATTGGTGCTTACAGGCCTTAGATATGGTGGCTGCATTAGTTTTCTTTCTTTCTTTCTTTCTTTCTTTCTTTCTTTCTTTCTTTCTTTCTTTCTTTCTTTCTTTCTTTCTTTCTTTCTTTCTTCCTTCCTTCCTTTCTTTTTCTTGCAACTTCCTGTGCATTTCTCATGACCATTGGAGGCTTATATGGTGGTGTTTGATGTTGGTGTTGTTTGGCACGTTCCTATTTGCATTGAGCTACAGTTACAGCAGTATTAAGCAAATTAAACTGACCCTTTAGGGCAGGGGTAGGCAAGCTTCAGCCCTCCAGCTTTGGTGAAACTACAAATACCATAAAGCATGGCAAGATTCTGACAGCCATTGGTATGACTTCCGGAAGCGGATACACAATGGGATTTGTAGTTTCACCACAGCTAACGTGCTGAACTTTGAGTGACATTAAATTTCACCTAAATAAATTAATTTGAATTATTCTCTATGTAAGTTTTATACAACGCTACATTTCTCCTTGTATTGTGCTGTTCTAAAACACAATATAGGAGAGACGGGGAAAATCTGTTCAATAACGGCAAAACAACCGTCCAGGATATAGACTTGTACAATGTTACCAGCACACCTTCACCTTTGTTAGAGACCCTTCATTAGCTCACACAGTAGATAAAAAGAGCTTAAGTGGGCGTGTACTTAAAATTCTATATATGTAAGAGAGCGCGATTTCACACCCCAGTGGCAAATATTGGAGTACATAAAGAAAGAAAGAGATCTACCTAGGGATATCGCGTCAAATAATGGGGAAGACAGTATTGCTCTCTGTCTTCAGGGGTGTACATGTGTATTGCTCTCTGTCTAGGATACACAGTCCTTGTCCCCTGAAGAAGCCCAATAGGGCGAAACATGTTGGGGTATTTTTTGAATGAAAAAACAAGGACCACATTGATGAACTAACCAATCATGTCATAGAAATGAACTATTTGATGATAATGTATTGTATGAATTACACGGAATAATCATGTTTTATTGAATGGAATTTTAATCAATTATTTAGAAATCATGCTACACTAATAAATTCATTTGTAATTGTATATAGAATAAGAGAGCGTTCAGTATTTTTTGAAAGCCCCTCTTCCTAGGGTCCTGGCATATCATATTTACATAGTTACATAGTATTTGAGGTTGAATAAAGACATTAGTCCATCAAGTCCAACCTATTAGGATCTCATTCTAGGAGTACCTGTACCCCTGTATATTACGGTCCCTTAAGAAATCGTCCAAAAGATGAAACCGTTCACCAAGACAAATAGGGTGAATCTCCCTAATGGGGACCCAGACAGAAATAGAGACCGGACAGATGTTCTAATCCCTCTCCAATCTATCCAAAACGAAATTAAGGTTTTGGCTTCATTTGCACTTTACTTACAATATTTATGGTCCCCGGAATTGATACATATATTTATTTTATTTAACAGTCTTGTTGTAAGCAATGATGCAGTCTGGAGGGACGAGTTCTACAATGGAAATGTGAAGAAAGAACGGGGTAAGTTTTAGTACAGAGCAGTTTGCGTATTGTAATTGTTATTGGGAAAACTGTGCTACAGAATCAGAAGATAAAGGGCAAGGTCTTAATACGGCCTGCGTCCCTTCACCTCCTATGGGGTCACCAAGGCAGGAGGTGGGTTGGGAACTCTTCAAAGAAAACTATGACTTAATCTTTTTTTGACTATAGTTCTCTTTAGGTTCACAGGAGGAAAATGTCCCCTTGTACCCAAAACTCAGCAAATAGCGCGCTATTCCTTGCTATATGCTGAGAGCGAAGAGCCGCATTGCAGCCGAGAAGGATCCCGACGCTATATGCTGAGTTTTGGGTCACAGGAGGATATTAGTATACCGTATGTCCTTCTGTGACCCTAAAGAGAACTATGGCAAAAAAAAGGTTGGGCCATAGTTACCTTCAAAGAGCAGGGGATGCTTCTTCTGCCTAGCGGGAGCAAATGTCTTTTTTTATCCTGTCTTGGACTTCTTTCTCTCTGCTTATCAAAACACTGAGAACTCTGCGATTGGAGGAGATGTTAGTCACATGACTGGGCTCTTCTCCCATTTATTTTTTAAACAATCACGTTTTTCATAACAGGGTGAAGAGTTGGGAGAAGGCAGGAGAAGTGAACAATCTAGGAGAACATAGCTGGACTGGAAAGTGAGCTGAATTGGGGAATTTTTCCAAATCAGCTATGTTGTCTTAGATTGTTCCCTTCTCCTGTCTTCTGCAAACTCTTCACCCTTTAGTGAATATCCCTGCAAATTTATTTGACAGCACTCTGAAGCAAGAGTAATGCTAAGCACATTTGTAAACACACTGATGTGCTTTGTACAGTAAATGTGCAATTTGTTTTGTTGTTGGGTTTTGGTAATGCTATACTGCTGCTTTATAACTGGGGCCCTAATTGTCAGGGCCTTCCCTATATTAAGGCAGTCTGAGGCTGTTGCCTCAGGCGCATCTCTTAGAGTCGTGTAAGGTGACGGCAAGCAGTGTTTGCAGTGTGCCTGCCATCCTCTTTCCAGCCAGAGCATCCCGCGTTGCATAGTGCCTGGCAGGGAGATGTTTAAGAGCCATACACATCTCCCCACCCAGCTCTTTGTAACCTGGGATGCTCTGGCTGACGTCATTGGTTGTCAGGAGCTGGGCGGGACGCTGGCCAGAGAAGTGGCATCACTTCTGCATGCCTGGGTGGTGGCGTAACTCTTTGCCACCACAATCCACCACCACTAAGTGCATGTACCACCAGGGCCGGATTTACTCTCCTTGCCGCCCCAAGGCCAGGAGAGTAAATCCCCCCCCCCAAAAACGCCCCCCCCCACCAACAAGGTCACAGGGCCTCGGTGGCCTTGTGGGAAATCCGGGCCTGTGTACCACTAGCATCCCCCCTCCTTCCGTATCTCAACTTGCAAAATTGATTGGGGCACCCCTGCTAATTGTTTTTATGTTTTATGGTCACTTATGGTGTTAATAATGCTTAGCGGAATTCATATTTAGTAATCAGTTTGGAGAAAATAAAAAACACACCAACATACCTTTTTTGGATAAATTATAGAAACGAATGGGGCTGTTTTATATAAAAAAAATAGAAGAAGACGCCCCTCAGTGTAGAGCTGCAGCTAACGATTATTTTCAAAATCGATTAGTTAGCCGATATTCAATAATCGATTATAATCGATTATTTGTTGCAGCCCTACCTCAGTGTAAAATATTTGGGTCACTAGACTACTGACAGTTTTAAAGGAAAATGGAATGGAAAAGCTGCAGGAAGTGTCCCCTTTATTAGGAAAGTGGGCTGGTCTATAACAAGTACTTTTAATTGATAGAGGATATCCGCTGGCAGAAATGGGTGACATAATAATTTTGAATATTTATGTTTCATGCAGGAGCAATGGTATTAAGGGTTGCAAAATCATGGTTTCGGATTGGTTCACTTGAAATATTGGCTAATTCTGGGGAATTTAACCTGCTGAGGTAAGGCTTAGCTGTAGCTAAAACAGAATGACTGAATGTCTGTCATACGTATATTGATCTGTGTTAAGGTCCCCCCACACCTTACGATAATCGCAGGAAATCCTGCAATGGTACAATTATCGTAAGGTGTGTGGAAGCCGTGCAACCGCTACTACTGTAAGGTCGCACGACTTTTAACTTACGGACATGTTCGAAAGCCCGCCGAGCATCGTACGATGTTTGGCGGGTTTGGGGCATGTCCGTACGATGAAAGCCGTACGGGCCGGTGTGCGCAAGCGCACACTGCCCGTTCGGCATTGCGGTCATCACGCCCTCAGGGGGCGTGGCTTGCGATCATCGCAAGTACGATCTGCCTATGCAACATAGGCAGATCTTACGTTTTTTTAAGTACCTTACAACCATCGCAAGACAATAGTCTTGCGATGGTTGTAAGGTGTGTGCCCAGCCTTAGCAATTGCAATTTGTTTCTTCCTTTCTCATCTGCATTGGAAAAAACAGCAGCTGGGTGCTAATAAATTGGCATGGACAACACAGAGCCCTTACCATAACTAGCAAAACGTATGCCCTGCTTTCTTCTCTACGCCTTGGTTAGTTCCAGAAGCCAGGCATCCACCTAGCAAATAAATTTAAACTTGGAACATTTGAAACATCCCAAAAATAACAGAGGGAGCCGATGCACTGACCTGTGGCATATGGAGGGTTGGTCACAGCTTGACCTGAAGATCAAGTCAGAATTTGCATAATGAGAGATGTTGGGTGTTGTCATGAAGATGTGACAAAAAAAGGTTTTTGTAGGCACTGCCAGTGCTTTTCTCTACCGTGTTTTGTTACCTTATAAAATGTACAGATCACGGGGCTACTTGATGACCTATCCCATATCAACCAATATTATATTCCCAATGAGGTTTCATTGTTCTTTACTATAAAACATATTGCTGGGAAGTAGATGCTGAACTTCGTTCTACTATCTATAAAAGGTTTATGTCTTCAGGAAGTCAAGTTTTACTACACACCTTTATACTTCAAGAAAATAAATGAACTAAAGATAAAAATGAGCAGCGTCTACATCTTGGGCCTAAGTTCCATCAGGCAAAAAAACAATTTTTGATGTCCCTAGCCGTCTCATTGTGCGCAGTTCTAATCTGGCACAGTAGATGCGAGATTTTATTTAATGCAGCGCTGCTAGAGGCATTCTGTGTGATCACTTAGTCCCCGGCAGTGCACTGTTCTTTGATGGATGGATGTCGGCTACATTTTTTCTCTTTTATTTTTGGAAGTTATTGTTTTCTCCAGAGCTAAGAGTACATTAAAGATGAACTCAACAAGATATAAAATACTAATGTCTGATGCCGTTATGAATTCAGTAAAAAATAATTAGTGAACCCTAACGTTCTGTGTTGCTTTAAGTGTGCTAGAGCAAGAGAGATACATCATACCACTCTTAAAAAATAAAAGTTTTAGCCACAAGAACCTTTTTGGTGATTAAAAGAGAACTATGAGGTGAGTGAAAATCACTCATCCTCATAGTTCGAGCCGACGTGTGACAATTAAACTGTCACATATCAGCTCTATAGATCGGAAGTGAGCGAAAGCATACAGTCGCTCGCTCACTTTCAGTTCATCTCCCTGCAGAGACTGGTGACTGTCAGTTACTGCTCCTTGCAGGGATTCCCCCCCTTCCCGCTCCGATCATCCAGTGCTGACTGGAGGAACGGACGGGGGAGGGGGCGGGCACAGCTGATAGGCAGAGCAAGCTGTCACTGACGCAGCTGGGTGGATCCAGACAGCATTGTCGGGATCCGTCCTGGCTGCGGTGCACTCAGTATATAGTGAGCTATAGCTCGCTATATACTGAGCTTTGGATCACGGGAGGATGCTAGTATATGTGCTCCCGTGACCCTAATGAGAACTACAGTGGTACCTCGGTTCACGGACTTAATTGGTTCCACGGTTCTGGTCGCGAACCGACTCAAATTTCCCCATGAGGTTCAATGTAAATAAGGTTAATCTGTTCTGACCCCTACCAACATGGTCGCATTTTTGACACCTTCATTACCGCTCTGCACTTTCTTTTTACCACCATGCTTGCTCTGTACTTTCTGGTTACCTTCATTACCACTCTGCTTGTTTTTGTCACCTTCCTTACCGCTCTGCATTTTCTTTTTACCACCATTCTTGCTCTGCACTTTCTTTGGAGCCATGCTGGATTGAATAGTGTAATACTGTACAGTACTGTATGTGCTAAAAAGCACACAAAAAAGCTTCCCAGCAAGTGTGCACAGGTCTGTCTGCAGCCGCGATCTAGAGCAAGCCACAACCACGTGTCAGAGCGGGGAAGAACAGTGGTTAGGTGATCTCTTCCTGCACTGGGTATTACATCCACAGCCACTGTGAACAGGCATGGCTGCATCACATCTTGTGACTTAAGTGCATGCCAGTGCTTTATAGCACATGCGTAGACTGCGTTGAAAGGATGGGGGGAGGGGAAATAGCAGAATTACACACACGCATCCTCACAATTGCACGCAAGGGTGACAACCCTTTGCAATGGAAGTGACAGTATCCAGCAGGATCACCACTGGATACTATCATTACACTAACAGAGGTCTGAAGAATAAAATGAGTCTTGAGCATTACAAAGGTGCAGGGCCTTCAACATACAACATATATATTTATTGGTTGTCTATTTGGCTGTGTGCCTGCAGTTTGGTTTTAATGTGACAAAAAGGGAAAACAATTATTTTATCATCATTTTATCATTCAATAGTTTATTAACGCTACACATGTTTCATTTATTCAGGCAGTTAGTTGATTTCATCATTAAGGAACACTTTCCATCCATCAACACAACTGATCCTGATAGACTATTGGTGAGTTTTCAGGATAGACCATTTTGAAGTGTTTGGTGTAAAGACAGAAACTTGCTTTGGTTAGTTTGTAAGCAATGCATAAGAAATAGCTTTAAAGGAAAACTCCAGCCAGCACTGAAGTATCAATTTTAGATTGCTTTTCTATATGTTAATGTCTGGGCCACATGTCCATTATCTGTCCAGTTACCATGCTGAAATGTCAGAGAACTCTGCTCTGACATTCTGCCACTGCCCCTATTACAGTCGTTTTAGACCCAAATGAATACAAAGTCTTAGGCCCCTTTCACACTATCCGATCAGGAGGGGATCCTTGCACGGATCCCCTCCTGATCGGAGCGGTATGGACTACTGTGGCATCCCTGTCCGTCCAGTTATTTCCTCCATCGCAATATGTAGAAAACTGAAATGACCTGAACCCATGTCGGCTTATGTGGAATCAGATGTAAATGGACATATGGGTAGACTCATTACCGCTACTTCTGACTCAGGTCAGGGAAAAGCACCAGTGTGGGATCATCCCACAAGAACCAGCCAGATAATGGAAGCAAAACACTAGTGTATTGTATAGATAATAATAGTAATACAGGATTTATATACTGTCAACAGTTTGCACAGCATTTAATAGGAGGGAGACACTACAGTTACAACACATTGCAAGACAGGAGAGCCCTGATAACAGTTTACAAACTAAAGGAAATTGCAAGTGTTACAAAAGGTGATAACTGTCAGGGGATCAGTTGATGGTTAAAGTAAAAGTCGTTAGGTAGAGGTTGATTTAGGCTTCCCCAATTAGAATGGTTTTTAAGGATCACCTAAAGGTGGGCACAGTAGGAGATAGCTGCAGAGATTGGAGTAGGGAGTTCTAGAGGATGGGAGAGGCTCTGGAAAAGTCCTGGAGGTGAGCATGGGAGGAGATCACAAAGAAGATAGAGAGCAGAAGGCCTTGTGAAGAGGACAGTTTGGGTGATATTTTGAGACAAGATTGTTTATGTATCTAAAGGCAGAGTTGTGAATGGCTTTGTATGTTGTTGTTAGGATTTTGAAACCAGTGGAGGGATTGTCAGAGAGGGGTATCAGACACTGAATGGTTGGTAAGGTGGATGAGTCTGGCAGCAGCATTCATAATAGACTGAAGGGGGGATAGCCTGTGTAAAGGAAGCCCAAGAGGACAGAGCTGCAGTAGTCAAGGCAAGATTAAAAGGAAATTAATAGGTATTTGAAGGGGTGTATTTTGGATATGTTACGGAGGTGAAGGTGGCAAGATTTGGACAGTGACTGGATGTGGGACCTGAATGAGAGGTCAGAGATCAGGATTACACCTAGAACCCTTGCATGATGGGAGGTGCTGAGAGTCGTGCTATTGAAAAGGTTGTGGTAGGGGGCATGGGGGAGGGGGATATTGTGTGAACTCAGTTTTGGAGCTTCATTTAGCGGCACTAGTGCCCCTAGATTGCCCTGCAAAGTACAGGAATTTCCAATACTCATCAGCACCATCTAGGGGTGCTAGTGCCATGCAGACAGCATCTGCCCAGCGAACTTTCATAAATTAAGCCCTTATTGTTTCATTGTTGGATGGACTATTCATATGTATGTATGTACCTTATAAGTTGTGTTTCCTTTATTAAAAATGTCTCTAGTCACTACAGTGATCATTGGTCTATATAACCTAAGATATCATTACAGGCATTTTTCTCTAGCGTGGTGTCTCAGACTGCAGGTATGATTGCAAGATGGATGTCTGTAGGCTTTGCACATGGTAAGTTTAAATTCCATTTGCAAGGGTACACATAGACATAAGATGACAGTTGTCAAATAAAGCCATAAAAAGGACCTTACATGTGTGGGTGTTGTAGGAAGCTAACAATTTGGCAAGTGAGAAAAGTTACTACAATTGCTTTTGTTACTACATTGATAATCCAGCACTGACAGTCTTGCCTGCACTGCCTCATGCTCATCCCCTCTCCATAGAAATTAACTGATGAGCTAGCAAGTTTGTAGAATGCTCTTCAGTGCTCGTTAGACTGTAAGCCCCGAGGATGATCTGTGGTCAGGTTTATTATTGTTATACGTGCTGTGGAAACCTACACTATATGGCCAAATGTTTGTGTGCACTTGACCATCACACCTATATGAGCTTGTTACTAAGGATGCACGGATACCAGTTTTGCAAGTACAAGTACTAATACTTGCCCAAGTACTTACAAGTACGAGTACTGATACAGTTTTGTTTATTTTGTCATGTGACAGTTTTTCTAAAACAATACAGACTAATGATTTCAGGATAGTGGTGGAGCGCCAGAGCCAGGTCCCAGCTGAAACCGCTGCAACCCTGGCAGTTCTCATGAAAATGCCAAGTATCGGCATTGGTACTCGAAAAGTATCGGTGCATCCCGACTTGTTACACATCCAGTCCCAAAACCATGGGTATTGATATGGAGATGACCCCTTAGCGGCTTTCTACAAGAGCTTGGAGTGTTTTTGTAGACATTTTTGTGCGTATTAAGCCAAAAGAGCATCTGTGAGGTCAGGTACTCACAATGGGAAGATCTGGATTTCAGTTGACGTCTCAATTCACCCTAAAGGTACACATTAGGTTTAAGGTTAGGGATTTGTACAGACCACTAGAGTCCTCCACACCAATCTCCTCAAACCATGTCTTTATGGACCTGGCTTTGTGCACAGGGGCACAGTTATGTTGGAACAGAAAAGGTCTTATCCCAAACTGGTGGACAAACACAGTTGTCTAAAATATCTAAATGTCTTGTATGCTGTAGCATTAACCTTCAGTGGAAACACTTACAGGGTTATTCACAAAAGGGTGAAGAGTTTGGAGAAGTCAGGAGAAGTAAACAATCTAGGTCAAAATAGCCGATTTGGAAAAATTCTCCAATTCAGCTCACTTTCCAGTTCAGCTATGTTGTCCTCGATTGTTCACTTCTCCGGCCTTCTCCAAACTCTTCACCCTTTTGTGAATAACCCCATTAAACTCAATAATTTGGAGGAGTGCCTATATCATTTTGGCCTTATAGGTACGTATGATGCTCGGGTGTTCACAAACGTTATCCTATAGAGCGTACTTGTAAAGTAAACAAAAATGATATCCAGCAAAATGTGAGTCTGTCAGTGGTTGGAGGAACAAGGAGGTCACAACTGATTCTTCTCCTCTATGTAAGCACAATTGAAGACAAATCTTTTTTAGTTTTGGATTAGGTAGTGAGAGATTTGAACACCTGCCAGGTTCTTATTGCTGTCTGTGTCCCCATTAGGGAGAGGCACCCTCTCTGTTTGTCCTGGTGACCATTATTGAGCCGAAAGTAGAAGAAAATCACACATTTTGGGTTGTTACCAGAACAGGAGGGCAAATCTTCAAATGGGGACACTGGTGACCCTATTGACCATTTGGAATTTCCCTCTCTTTGGAGGGATGTCCTCTAAATTCCTGTTGTTGCTATTGGACAGGAAGTGACACACATGGCAAAAACCTCTCTCTTTCTGTATCCAAAATGTAAAAAAAAGTTGGCTTCAGTTCTACTTTAAGTCTTCTTTTATTTGTTTACTTATTTTGTGTTAAGACTGACATATATTACCAGTTATACCACAAAATTCTGCATCTTCTGGGATTCATTTGCTATCTTATTATTTTTGTTGTTCTCATGATGACAATTATATTGTACAGAAGCATTTACCTTTAAGTGTGAATATTGTCCCAGCTACTTCATGACCTTATTTGCATGCATCCTGCAGCTTTTGCCCTGGACTATTACTCTTTGTTATAATTGCATGCTGTTTTCCTCTGTGCAGGGAGATAGCTATAGAGTTCAGTTATGCCACTATACAGCATTCTGTATTGCACAGACAGGATAGTTTGTTAAATAAGACCTGTGGCATGTCATTTAAATTTTTTTGCCTGTAATATTGAAACCTGGGAATTACAGGCCAGTTAGTCTTACATCTGTAGTGTGCAAACTGCTAGAGGGAATGATTAAGGACTATTTAGTAGAATTTGTTCAGGCTAATGGTATAGTTAGTGATAATCAGCATGGGTTCAGGAAAGACCGTTCCTGTCAGACTAACCTACTGACTTTTTACGAGGGGGTAAGTAGAGATCTGGATGGAGGGAGGCCGGTGGATGTGGTATATTTGGATTTCGCTAAGGCTTTTGATACGGTACCTCATAAACGCTTACTACACAAGCTAAGAGCTATGGGCATAGATGGAAGGGTGTGTACTTGGATAGAGAATTGGCTAAAGGAACGGGTGCAGAGAGTATCAATAAATGGTGCCCTTTCAGACTGGGCTAGTGTTATTAGCGGTGTGCCTCAGGGTTCTGTGCTGGGACCCATGCTTTTCAACCTGTTTATTAACGACATCGGGGACGGAGTAAACAGTGAAATCTCAGTGTTTGCTGACGATACCAAAATTGGGAGGGTAATAGAAACAAACCAAGATAGTATAACTTTACAAGAGGACCTGGATAAAATAGGGGAATGGGCAACTTTATGGCAGATGAGGTTTAATGTTGATAAATGCAAAGTTATGCACTTTGGGACAAAAAACACGCAAATGGGTTATACAATAATGGGTAGGCCGCTAGGTAAGTCTGAAATGGAGAAAGATTTGGGGGTCACTGTAGACCATAAACTCAATAATAGATTACAATGCCAGGTTG